GGTCTCCCATCCGAACGGTTTGTTATGTACTTCGCAAGGAAAAACAACGCCTGGCTTAAGGACGACGATAACGCCAAGAAACTTTAAGAAAATACGATTGCCGTGTATTTGAATGGATGCATCCGTCCATGGTTCTTGTGTACGAGTTTGGCAAGAGTTTTGAGCTCCATCCGATGGAGTTGCACGTGCTGGCTGGTAGAGCTGGTGTCTCGTAGTCGAATGCACTTACATGTCAATCGCGGTGTGTCTGATTTATCGTTGCAGCCGCCCAAACCTTTGGTGACATCGTTTGGTAGAGAATGGGACTTCCAGAACCCTTTTTATGACTGGTTAAAGTGGGTGAAGGGCATTACAGAGCTTGAAAAATAACATCCACGAATGCCACTACCATTCATTGCTTCGATGTCTGGGCGGAGGCTCTGGGAGTCAAGACTTCTTGACGAATTTCCAAATCTTATAAAGCAAACTTTTCAGGACAGCCGTAACGAGAGAATAGAAACATTGCTGCAGAATGCCTTCGCATTTAATATCGCATTTGAAGAAACAACCAACAATGAGGAAGACATGGTTAGTGTCTCGCTTTGTATGAGGATGCTCTGGCAGCTTCAAGGTTCACTAGAATGGGACCAATTTTGTCAAGATCGTAGGAACCGTTTGGATCCTATACAATGTTCTCGCTATTATCCCAGCTAACTGGTAAACCGATGGAGAAGTTGTATGTGTTTCTGTGCGTCGATGGTTTGGAGAAACTTGATGTTAGGAAACCGGGGACAGACATCAAAGCGTCTTGGGCTGCTTATGTGACCTCGTTAGTGCGTTGCCCTCCAGGATTATTGCAGTCGTGTCATCACAAATCCGAGAGCCAACCAACGATGTTCGTCCACATTTTGCTCCGCAGTTACAGACTGCAAACTATCTAGGCCGACAGTCCAAGGACGCGATGTGACTGTGGAGTTGGAAATGACGATCTCCTTCGGATTCTCATCAATGATATTGATGGATTCGACTGAGGAAATCGAAGTGCTCTATCAAGTAATGAGGGATATGCGAGTGAAGAATTTGACTTTCAAAGGATTTTGCAACGTGTGACGACTGCCATGCCTGATGCACAAAATTGTGCAGCGCACGAAGAAGCTCTGAAATTTCGAGCATGGCATGCTTACTGAAACTCAAGAGCTGCAGGTGGATTGAATTCGAAACATATTAAGGATGCTTATCT